AAGTGTAATGCTCCTTCAAAGTAAACCTAGGAAAATAGCTCTATGGCTTTAAACGTAGGGTATCAAGAAGGGGTTAAAAAAAAAAGACTAACCACGTACTAAAAAGAGAACTAATATATACATGGTGAAAAAATGAATCCTCCCCCTCACTTAAGACTAGCAATGTCCACAGTGCAACATCAAGGCATAAGAAGATAAGTAAAGGAGAGAGAACTCACAAACCCTCACTAATGAGGGGGAAAGGAAGGGTGCGAAAACCCTTGTGACTGCAACCAAGTTATAAGAGTAGCAAAATTTTCCGATAAGGAAGCCAAGTCATTCTTCATCGCCTTACTGTCATTTTTTAATTCATCAATGGAAGCTTGTAATGTAGCAAGTGTAGGTGAACATGAAGATGATATAACATCTACTGCCGAAGGAGAGGGTGGTACGGGTGGTTCTAGAGACAGTGAAACTTGCCTTCTTGGTTAGGAATGAGTGAAGGACCAATTATTCTTATCTTTTAAAGACATTTCCTCGGGACTGGGAAGTGCATCCTCGTCTCCATGAGTGCACCAAAGGGTGGTGCCATCCTTCTTTTTCACCCAAGTGCACGGAATTTCCACAGTATGTGTTCCATCTACAAAACCATCTTTTTTGATATCTTCATTGTATCCCAAATAGGTTGCAATACGAGTGATAAACCCTCCTTGCACAATTTTTCCTCCAGTAGTGTTATTGTTGGCTACATGTTGCAATTGTTGAATAAGGAAGGCGCCAACGTTGATAGGTTCAGCATGAAGCATGTGATGGAGCATATATAACTCATCCTTGCGAACCCTACTCCCTTCTTGTCGACCAAAAATAGTGTTGGAGAAAAACTTGAGTGTATAGCACATTGCGGGATGGCGAGCGGATGTGATTGAACTCCCCTTTGAATTATATCTGCCTTCACCCGATAAGATCCGCCAAAAACCATCTACATCCCATCTTGTTGGGGTCATTCTTGATCCATCGACATGTAATCCAAGCGCCAAATTAAGCTCATCCAAGGTCCAAGTATGATTATTTTTAAATAGCCGAAAAGTGATCTTGGTCTCGCCGCTTGACGGGTTGGAGAAGAAGTTGACCTTCAAGGAGCTTAGGAATTCCAATGTTGCTCTCTGTGATGTTGGAAGCTTAGTCATGAGAAGATTTCCCAATCCGACATTATCAAGAAGCCAGCGGACATCGTCCTCAATGTGTAGGGCTGTCAAAACATCAAGGTCACCATAGCGGGTAGCAACGATTCCTCTTCTAAACAATTGTTCATATTTCTCCTTGTATATTGCATCTCCATTAAAATCAATGTCAAAATAATTGATGCTAAATTCTTTATTCTTGACCCTACTGGTTGAGGAGGCTGCCTTCTTGCCCTTGGAGATACATAAATTTTGCTTGGATGACGAACTCTTCTTGGTGTGAGGCGGCCTTGTTTTAAGGGTGGAGTTATTAGTCACGTTCTTTTGTCAAATACTTGATGTGCGTGCCATCAGAGAGTGATCAAAGTAGTACTAAATAGCTTCCAAGAACCACAAATACAACTTGTACCACAATCTACCCCCACAATCACTCTATTTTCCGATAGTCTAGCAAAAAATCACAATACTCCACTTGAGCATCAAAATCGATTCAACGATAGGGTTCTCCAATGTAACAGTATCCACACAAAATCGTCCAAGATTCGAACCCAAAAACCCTTCAAGTAGCAAATAGATCTCAACCGTAATCGATCCCAACCAATACAATCATCCAAGAGACCAGAAGATTGGCATGTATATTCGAAAATAATGCCGAAGCAACTGTAGGTTTCGAAATATATGGTAGAATTTGTAGAACAGAGGAAGATGGTGGGTATTGTGGGTTTCTTTCGGTGTTGAACGTTGGTAACGGTCTGACGGAGTTGCAAGATTTTACAGGTGGTAGGGGAGAGATGAGCCTGACTGCGGCAGAGCGTTGCACTGTAAGTTCTTCATCTCCCTTCTCTTTAATTGTTTTTCCTTGTTTTTTTTTGTGAGAGAAATTATAGGGTATGTAAATAACAGTGCACTCCGCAGCCTAGTTGCGGTATCTTGGTGTTACCCGCGGCTCGGTTGCGGAGTAAACTGCTGTCGTTTCTTTTAATGTATGAGAGTGAGATGAACCGCGACCTGACTGCGGCATAGGTGGGTATACTGCGACCAAGCTGCGGAGTAAACTGGTCTTCTCAAAGTTTCAATGCATAACGAGAATGTTTCCGCAACTAGCTTGTGCACTAGGCTGTTAAACTCGCTGTGATGCGAGGACTCCAATCTCTGTGGTACAGCTGCTTTCTCCTGCATTTACATAATTTCATAAGAAGACAAGATAGGGTAGCACTTGAGTAAATTAAAGGGGCTAGATAATTAGACTACCTAACCTACTAAAAACAAAATAAGGTGAAAACAAAGACTGAAACAATATTCCAAAGAAGAAAACAAAAAAAAAGACTACTACTACATAAAGACTAACTCACCAAGGAAAAAAAAAAACGAAACTTGGTTCTATATAAAAAAAAGATCCTAAAATAAACTACTTCATAATGGAATGAAAAACAGGTGCAAATCGTTTTCCCTCCTTTATGTATTTTTTTATTTTTTTAATTTTTTTTTAATTTTTTTTAATTAAAAGAAAGAAAAACTTAAGTAAAAGTAGAAAAATTGGGTTGCCTCCCAAAAGCGCTTGTTTATAAGGTCTTAAGCTCGGCCTCCTTTTTGCTCAGTTGTCTTGTGATGGTGTCGAGAGTGTGATATCCACTCTTTCATCAATTGGATCACCTACTCGATAGTACTTCACTCTTTGGCCATTCACCTTAAAAGTACCCCCATTTTTATTCCATAGTTCAATAGTACCATAGGGATAGACTGTACATACCTTGAATGGACCCGACCACCTAGAACGAAGCTTACCGGAAAATAGTTTTAATCTTGAGTTGAATAAAAGGACTTGATCTCCTTCCTTAAATTCTCTTCTCACAAGACCCTTGTCATGCCACCTTTTGGTCTTTTCTTTGTACAACTTCGAACTTTCATAGGCTTCAAGATGGAGCTCGTCTAGCTCATTTAATTGTAACAATCTCTTTTCACCCGCTGCTTGAGCATCAAAATTTAAACTTTTAATAGCCCAAAAAGCTCGGTGTTCTAGCTCGACAGGTAAGTGGCACGCCTTTCCATATACGAGTCTATATGGGGTTGTACCAATTGGCATTTTAAAAGCTGTTCGGTATGCCCATAATGCATCATCAATCTTAGCGGACCAATCTTTCCTTGTTCTTGCAACCGTTTTCTCTAGAATAGACTTGATTTCTCGGTTAGATACTTCAACTTGGCCACTGGTTTGAGGGTGATATCCAATGCCCAACTGGTGTTGTACTCCATACTTTTTCAGCATTGCCTCAAATCGATGCTCCATAAAGTGCGTCCCCCTGTCACTAATCAACACACGTGGGATACCAAATCGGGGAAAAATAGTTTTCTTAAAAAATTTGCTTACCACACGAGCATCGTTGGTTGGAGTAGCAATAGCTTCCACCCACTTTGACACATAGTCAACGGCTACTAAGATGTATCGGTTACCATAGGAAGAAGGAAACGGACCCATGAAGTCTATCCCCCACACATCAAACAACTCGACCTCGAGTATGTTGTTGAGTGGCATCTCATTCTTCCTAGAAATATTGCCCGTCCGTTGACATCGATCACATGCCTTGACATAGGAATATACGTCTTTGAACATTGTTGGACAATAAAAACCGCACTGCAAGATCTTTGCGGTTGTCTTTGAGGGACCTGCATGTCCACCACATGGTAAGTTATGGCAATGAGAAATAACACTTCTTACCTCACTCTCTGGGATGCATCGTCTGATCACTGCGTCTGCGCACAATTTGTACAAGAAGGGATCCTCCCAAAAGTGTCTCCTTGCCTTAGAGAGGAATTTCTTCCTTTGTTGAGAGGAGTAGCCATGAGGCCTTGTACCTGTGGAAAGGAAATTAGCCAAATCAGCATACCAAGGTGATTCAGTCTGCAACAAAGCTAATAGATGTTCAGCAGGGAAAGAATCATCAAAAGGGATTTCATCCCCATCCTCGGGGTCAAGGAGAAGACGGGAGAGATGATCTGCAACAACATTCTCCGTCCCTTTTGTATCCTTGATCTCTATGTCATAATCCTGCAGTTGAAGAATCCATCGAATCAACCTAGGCTTTGCATGGGTCTTGGTCATCAAATATCTCAGTGCTGCATGATCTGTATGAATAATAACTTTAGAACCAACCAAATAGGAATGAAACTTGTCAATTGCATAAATTACAGCTAGCATCTCTTTCTCAGTTGTGGCATAATTCATTTGAGCAGAACTAAGAGTTTTGCTAGCATAGTAAATGGCATGGAGATTTTTCTCTTTTCTTTGCCCCAAAACGGCTCCTACTGCATAGTCACTAGCATCACACATGATTTCAAACGGCAGGCTCCAATGTGGAGGTTGCATGACAGGAGCAGAGATCAAAGCTTCTTTCAACCTGTTGAAAGCCTCAAGACAAGCATCAGAGAAAACAAAAGGAACATCCTTAGCTAAAAGCTCAGTTAGAGGTCGAGCAATTTTCGAAAAATCCTTAATAAAACGACGGTAAAAACCCGCGTGACCAAGGAAACTTCGAACTCCTTTTACAGAGTTCGGAGGGGGTAAACGCTCTATGACCTCTATCTTAGCCTTATCTACCTCAATACCCTTATTAGATACAACATGACCTAAGACAATTCCCTGTTGCACCATAAAATGGCATTTTTCCCAGTTCAAAATCAAATTAACTTCCTTACATCTTTGGAGCACCTTTTTAAGATTTTCAAGACATATATCAAAAGATGTTCCATAGAAAGAAAAATCATCCATAAATACCTCCATAGAATTTTCTATAAGACCGGAAAAAATTGCCATCATACAACGTTGAAAAAGTGGCGGGAGCATTACATAATCCGAATGGCATCCTGCGATATGCAAAGGTGCCATATGGACATGTGAAAGTAGTCTTTTCCTGGTCACAGGGACGGATGGGAATTTGAAAGAAACCAGAATATCCATCCAAGTAACAGAAAAAGGAATGCTTTGCCAACCTTTCAAGCATTTGATCAATAAAGGGTAGGGGGAAATGATCCTTGAGGGTGGCCTTATTCAATTTCCTATAATCTATACACATTCGCCACCCTGTAACAGTCCTAGTGGTGACTGGCTCACCCTTGTCATTCTTGACAACGGTCATACCTCCCTTCTTTGGTACTACTTGTACAGGGCTAACCCACTTACTATCAGAGATAGGGTAGATTATTCCTGCAGCAAGCAATTTCAGAACCTCTTTTTTCACTACCTCCATCATATTTGGATTAAGTCTTCTTTGAGGTTCTACAGAAGAGGCATGATCATTTTCAAGAATGATTTTATGCATACAGAAAGAAGGATTGATACCCTTGATGTCATCAATGGTGTACCCAATAACACTTTTATATGTTTTCAGAACATTGAGAAGTTGCTCCAGTTCTGTGTCCTTGAGTTCAACATTAACAATGACAGGGTATGAATTATTTGGACCAAGATATGCATACTTTAAGTTAGAAGGGAGAGGTTTCAACTCTACCTCGGGAGGCTTAGTACTCTCCCCAATACTCATTACACTCAGTGTTTCTCTGATTGGATTCACGCTCGGGTTGGCCCTTGCTTCTTCAAGCAGCCTGACACACTCTCTTGATTCCCAATCTCCATCACCATCTTCCTTCACTATTAGTACCTGTTCAAGGGCATCGTCTTTTTTATTCAGGGGAAGTTGCTCACCTTGCAACTCATCAAGTACATCAACCTAACAAACAGTGTCTCCCATGGAGGGAGTACCCATAACATTCAGAAGTGAGTATTCCAATTTTTCATCTCCTACTTCAAAAGTAATCTTACCTTTCTTCATGTCAATGATTGCACCTGCAGTAGCTAAGAAAGGTCTACCAAGTATGATTGGAACATTCACATCTTCTTCCATTTCCATTACAACAAAATCACAGGGTATGAAAAACTTACCTACGCGAAGAGGTACATCCTCAAGTACACCCAAAGGAAACTTCACTGACCTGTCTGCAAGTTGCAGGGATATGCGTGTGGGTTTGAGTTTACCCATTTCCAGCTTCTTACATATGGACAGTGGCATGAGGCTCACACTTGCACCAAGATCGCACAATGCCCTGTTAATCTCAATGTCCCCAAGCTTCACTGGAATCGAATAGCTACATGGATCTCCTAATTTCTTAGGGAGAGTGTTCTGCAAAATAGCACTGCACTCTGCATTCAAAGCAACTGTAGTATTCTCCTCTAACTTTTTCTTATTAGAAAGCATATCTTTTAAAAATTTTGCATAAGAAGGCATCTCAGATATGGCATCTAAAAATGGAATATTTATATGAAGCTTTTTAAGGATATCAAGAAATTTACCATACTTCTTCTCTAACTTGGCTTGGGCTAACCTCTGCGGAAAAGGAACATTTGGCACATATGGAGCAAGAGGTGGTGGAGTTGCTTTCTTTGGCTCTTCCTCGATCTTAGAACTATCAATCACCTTCTCACACCCGCTTACTTCTTCAACAACCTCCTTTGATGGCTCCTTGATAGGAGGATCTTCCAATTGCTTCCCACTCCTCAAAGTTACTGCATTCATATGCCCCTTTTGTGGTTGCTCTGTCTGACCCGGAAAAGTGCCCGGTGTCTTTAAAGATTGGCCAACTTGATGAGCTAGTTGACTTATCTGATTTTCCATGAGCTTACTCTGGGCTTGTAACTGTTGTATGGAACCATTTTGTTGTTGGATGGAATCGTTGGTTGTGGTGATAAAATTTTCCAGCATTAGTTCAAGGTTAGACTTTTGAGGAGGTGGTTGAATATGTTGTTGGACTGGAGGTGGCCTTGGTTGGAAACCAGGTGGTGCATTGTAGTTGTTGTTTCGAGGTGGTGGTGGAGGTGGATTTTGTTGGGCTTGGGTATTCTTGTAGGAAAAATTTGGGTGATTCTTCCAACCTTCATTATATGTGTTAGAGTGGGGGTCATATGGCCTTTTGGGGTTGGAAGTGTAGAATGCATTGGCTTCCTCAATCGACATGTCATTTGAATTTTGTGGGCAATTGGGTGCAATGTGACCTTGCACATTACACATTTGACAAGTCTCAGGTGAGCTAGTGGATGTTCCAGCTTGGAGTCTATCAAACTTGCTTGTTAATTCCTGCATAGAGCTAGTTAAAAGAGTTAGAGCATCAACATCTAATTTACCACCCTTTTTCACACTATTTCGGCCTCCTGGGTGATAGTTATCATTAGCCGCCATCTTCTCAACTAGTTCCTTCGCCTCAGTTGGGTTCTTAGTCAGTAGAGAACCCCCAGATGCAACATCAATGTAGATTCGGAACTCATGAGTTAGACCATTGTAGAAAGTTTGGATCAACATCCATTCAGGAATACCATGGTGAGGGCATTGTCTCTGCAAACGCTTGAATCTCCTCCATGCGTCATATAGGGACTCATCATCTGACTGCCTGAAAGTGGATAACTCGTTTCTCAACCTTGCAGTCTTTTCCTGTCCCAAGAACTTGACTAGGAAAGCTTTCACCAATTTGTCCCATGTGTCAAATGAACCAGAACCTTCATCTCTCAGTCATTCCTTCGCCCTATCCCGTAATGAAAAAGGAAAAAGGCGAAGTCTAAGAGCATCGTCTGTAACACCATTTAATTTCATAGTGTCACATTTCTCCAAGAAACTATCGATGTGACTCACTGGGCAGTCATGAGCTGTGCCTGCAAACGAATCATTGGAGATGAATTGAATGAATTGTGGTTTCAATTCGAAGTTCTGAGCAGTGACAGGTGGTCTGACAATGCTTGAGAGGAGTCCGGTTGTTGTATCAGGAATACCGTACTCCAAAAGAGATTTCGTGCCGTCTTCCATGTTTCTATTGTTTCGATTTCTCTTTCTTCTTCTACCTCCTCGTCTCCTTGCAGTTGCTTCGATTTCAGAATCAAAAGGTGCTAAATCGTCTGACCCTGAACCTCGTGTTTGCATGCAACAAGGAACTAAAAGCAGAGTATCAAAAACACAAGAGACAATAGCCGAAGCAACGAATAAAGCTTAGCAAAAACGAATCACAAATAATCAGAAAGAAATCGTTAGTCCCCAGCAACGGCGCCAAAATTTGATAGGCGTGTCGCGTACCTAGCAAAAATAACCTAACAAGACCACTACTATGTAGATAGGCAAGTAAGGATCGAATCCCAAGAGACTATGATTTAACTAATTAAACAGACTCAAGTTAATACTAAGCAAGTATCAAACAATGGTGGAATAAACTAAAAACTAATGTATGGAAAACTTAGAATAAATCAAACGAATATAATAAATCAATAAACTAAAACATCCAAGATCAAGCATCACCACGAATACAATTAATGCAATAGTCGTTCTACCCCTAACATATAATTCGATTGATTAACGAGGAAAAGCAATCCCTAAATGGTACCAATGGTCTCCCCCGAGTTATCAATGGCTTCCCTAATCACAATCAAGCCTACTTCCGTGGAATCATGTAAATTAAAGACCTTGAGCACATTACTCTAACTTCCTAATAATCCATTCAACTACTCCCGTGATGAACTTCAAATCCTTAATTGATTTATTCAAACCCGTTAAAACCCAACTCCCGTTTCAATTAAAACAATGGATTAATAACAATACTAATTATCCCTAATCTAGTATTGGCATGAGCACAATCAATTAAGCATATCAATTGCAATTATCATTAGAGAATTTAAAGAATTAAATCATGCATTAACCATATTCGGGTTCCGCTAGGCCTTGGAATAGAGAAACTACTCACACATAGTCATGAATTCAAGAATCATATTCAATAAAGAAAACATAATTAACAATAATAAAATAAGAGAGCTGAGAGAAGAAATCAATACTTGGAATTAATTATGAAATCTTGAATCTTGAAAGCAAAACCCTAGGAAAATAATAATAGAAGAACGTAATACCAAAAACTCTAAATTAATGTATGTAAAGTGATCAATAAAAAAAAAACTATCTAAAACCTATTTTTAAGCTAGGAAAATAGTAATAGACTCCTCTTAGGATTTGGTTTCTTAAAACCCCAAAAATAGGCCCAATTTCGTCACTAGATCAGGGGGCCGCAGCTAGGCTGCGGTGTAGGATCGCGAGCCGCATGCAGGCTGCGGAGTGGTCTGTTTCGTGTTGCATCCTTAAGCGTTTGTGAAGTACACCGCAAGTGAGCTGCGGTATGGATCTGTAAACCGCGAGCAAGCTGCGGAGTGAACTGTCCTCTATTGCTTGTTGCTCTTTTGTGAAGTAAGTCGCAAGTGAGCTGCGGTAAAATCTCTAAATTACCTCGTCAATCCTGAAATACATCAAAAATAACGAAGCTACCCAGGAAAGCATGAAATCATCAAGACTAAACCAAATCAAACACGAATAAACCAAAAGCTCCTAAACTAGACTCAAAAAGAGGACCAAAAAGACTCCAAAAATATGCACAAAACACGACTTATCACAAAGGTAATAAGACCTAATCAGATATGTTCAAGTGAAGAAAATGCAACCTAAAAACTTATAACTTGTCCATAGACACTTAAAAGAATAGACTACATTATGCCAGACGAAATAAACAAAGATGCATATAAATTTTTTCTGCTTCTTAAAAACAAACATAAATCAGATGTGAGACTCCATATAATAACTCGTAATTATTTTTTCAATTTTGTTTTTCGAATGCGGTGATTTGACTGCCATAATTATTTAGTCCAACCATTGTCGGTACAGAAGATTAAAATTTGTGAGCGTATATGCCAAAATTGACGGCTTTAAAAAAAACAGTGTTCTTCAAATGACTGATTCTTTTCTATTTTTTTTCCCTCTTTTTCTATTCTTTTATGCAAGATCCACGAGACCACGAGGACTCGAGGAGAAGTAAATAGACTAAATACTAGTGAAGCGTATGAATAAAAAGAAAATAAAAGGGCATTACGTACTTTAATGAGGATTAAGACAAGACATAAATCTTCAATAGTACTTAATTTAGCCGTATGGAACTAGCCAATTCAACGGTGGAAACTAAAAGGACATGAACAAAAGAAATTATAAAAGTTTTCCCACTTCAAGTTGAAATCTTCGGAAGTAAGGAAGTGATTTGTTTATCATTTCGAACAAGTTTAAAGTTTAGAAATGACGATATTTAGTACAATACTTCATATCATATTCTTATAATTAATTAGCAAGTTACTTACACGAGTCATCCCTACTGAGTAGTATCAAATGGATCGCTTAATATCTCCTAATCCGTACAAAACAACAATTATTTATATGGAGTACATAAAATATAAAATAGGAAAAATCAAAATCTCATCCACTGAATTAACCATTTAACAATTTGTATAGGCGCTGGAAATTGTGCTCCAAGACTATAACAATTGAAGATGTACAGATGTACTGCAGCATAGTAAACCATTAATAATAATACAAAATTAATAATAATAAAAAAAAAAAAAAAAAAAAAGTCTGCAGATATAGGCATCGTTCTAAGAATTTTCAGGAAAACAAAGCCAGCCATAAAAATTAGTAAATGCCTCAACATGGAATGTCTTAGATATTTAATACCAGGCCAGTTTATATCTAAGTTTTTATCTTTTAATTAGCATCTTATTAGGCCCCACAACTTATTTTGTGTTACTTATTTTAGATCAATGATAATTGAACTTCATTTGTATAAATACTACCGAGTATCTGTCCTAGCTTTTTCCTTTAGTTTTTTGTTTGAAAGAAAAAACTAGTTTGTGTATTGTAATTATCAGATTTATATTTGTATATAGCTGTTATACATACCTCCCTAGTAATTGAAATTATGGATCATGCCCAATCTTCCACAACCAATTTTTCAATGTCGATATCTTTTCGGATAATTTTGTTTTAGTGTTTTGGATAATTATGTGTGTCGTTAGTGTTAAATTGATGTTGTACTAAAAAGCAATAAAACAGTAAACTTATTTGTTGACGCGTGAACCAAAAGAACAGTAGCCGTGTCGTGGTGAACCACTGACCTAAAAGAAGATTCTGCGTTACCTTCCGGTGCAGTAGACAAGGAGCGGTCGCCCTCCAGGATAAGCACGACGCCGGAGTTTATGTGCACTCACAAACCCGACTGAAGTTCAGAATACTTGCCCAGAAAATAAAGAATAGTGTTTAGTATTTTAAGAGAAGAGAGAGAGGTATGATTTTCTGTGTATTTTTGCCGAAGAGAAACTGAGCTTATATAGGCAGCAAGGAGGAGTAACGGTCAGCAGGGAAGGAGGAAGAAACGACCAAATAATTAAGGCCAAAACAGCTGCCCGTTACACTCCGTAATCAAAGGATGAACCTAGCCAAAAAACTGTCCAGATTAACTTGGTCAGTCAAGAGCAATAATCAATAAGGGGTGTAACGGTTAGCTGTAATCAAGGGATTAACGGCTAAACAATTTCCTAACAATCCGTGAATCCCAACAGTCAAAAACAGCTAGAATAAATAAGATATTCTGTCAAATAAAATTCCTCCAAAAAGATAAAATGGAACCACGCCCGCGCATTGCATATCTTAAGTCCCAAATACGTCCCAACTCAATGCGCACAAGTGTGTGTAAGGTACAACACCCACCTCCAAGTCACTCAACTAAGTAATACTAACATACTACAATATATAAATAAGGAAAAAACCTTTCCCTCCACCAATGTGAGATTTTTCCCTTTTCATTTGTGACTCTCACTCTCTCTTGTTTTCTTTCCTTCACTCAACACTCTTGTTTTTTATATCAAGAACTTCCAACGGTTAGTGCCATGACATTTTGACAATTCATATTGAACTCGAAATTGCGATGAACATACATTATAGCATTGTCAATTCATCTTGGACATAGGTAATAAAAAAAGATGCTTATACTAATGAGAAAAGCTTGACTCATTCAATAAGAGTCTTATCCTAGATCCCAAAAGTTTAGCCATATCTCAAAGAATATAATTTACAAATTTATTTTACTCCTACTAAATTAAAAAAAAAATATATTACAGATAGATCAAATTCATTCGATATAAAGCTCATGCTCTTTCAATTCACATGACATTTCCGGAAACATCTCATATTTGTATTCTAATGGTCACAATTATATAAACCTACTTCAAAAGTGAAAACCAAAAGGGCAAGTTCCTCTTGGGCTTAAGTACAAAACTCCAGATATATAGGCACAAATCATGCCACAAAATAAACTTTGGTAAATACATACTCTGTATAGTATAACTAGTGGACCCAAATCCAAAAATACATATCCCAAAAGCATATAATTAAATTAAAAACAGAATTATTATTATCATTACAGTTGAATAAGCTCATGTAGGTAACAATAATAGTAGGCTAATGACAGATAGTTGACAAACCAAAAACAACATTTACTATTATGGTTCAACATTAAATAGCATATTTGGTACTACAATAGTGGGACATGACTCAACACTTGCTTTTCTTCTTCTCTTACCCCCCTTTTTTTTTCAATCTTCTTCTGCTTTTAATTTTGTTGTTTTTCTGCTCTCAACAAATATATTTTGATGGGTCCTCTTAATCTTTATACTTGCTCCCACTAAATATATACATTCATTTTCAACTATATAGTATATTCTTGTTACATACTCACATAAAAAAAAAAAAAAAAAAAAACACATGTTCATCTTCTTATTATAGCATAGTATAAAGTAAGAAGGTGATTTATTTTGATAAAAAAGATGAATAGAGAGATGAATGGGTATGAAGATGGGGTGAAGGAAATGAGAATAGATTATGTGTATAAAGTAGTTGTGATTGGAGATTCAGCAGTTGGAAAATCTCAGTTACTTGCTAGATTTTCAAAGAATGAA